ACCACATAAATAAGGTGAAGAATAAAAACCACATGATCATATCAATAGATGCTGAAAAAGCATTCAACAAAATCCAGCATCCATTTCTGATAAAAATGCTCAGCAATGTGGGAATAGAGGGATCATATCTCAACATAATAAAGGCCATATATGAAAGACCTACAGCCAACACCATATTCAATGGACAGAAACTAAAAACATTTCCATTAAGAACAGGAACAAGACAGGGATGTCCACTTTCGCCACTCTTATTTATCATTATACTGGAAGTCTTAGCCACAGCAATCAGACATGAAGAAAAAATAAAAGGGATCCAAATTGGAAAGGAGGAAGTGAAACTCTCATTATTTGCAGATGACATGATATTATACATAGAAAATCCTAAAGATTCCATCAAAAATCTACTAGACTTAATAAATGAATTTGGCAAAGTAGCAGGATACAAAATTAACGTCAAGAAATCGACGTCATTCTTGTACACCAATGATGAACTCACAGAAAGAGATACTGAAAAAACAATCCCATTTACCATGGCGCCAAAAAAATTAAAATACCTAGGAATAAACTTAACCAAAGAGGTAAAGGACCTATTTGCAGAAAACTACAAGTCATTGAAAAAAGAAATAGAGGAAGATATAAAAAAGTGGAAGCACATACCCTGTTCATGGATTGGAAGAATTAACAGAATTAAAATGTCCATACTACCCAAAGCAATCTATAGATTCAATGCAATCCCCATCAAAATACCAACAACATATTTCATAGAACTAGAACAAATACTTCAAAAGTTCATATGGAATCAAAAAAGACCCCGAACAGCCACAGCAATCTTGAAAAAGAATGACAAAGTAGGTGGGATCACAATACCAGATATCAGGTTATACTACAAAGTGACTGTAACCAAAACAGCCGGGTACTGGCATAAGAACAGGCATATAGACCAGTGGAACAGAACTGAAAACCCAGAAATGGACCCAAGGCAATATGCTCAATTAATATTTGACAAAGGTGGCAAGAGCATACAGTGGAGTAAAGACAGCCTCTTTAATAAATGGTGTTGGGAAAATTGGACAGCTAGATGCAAAAAAATGAAACTAGACCATCAACTTACACCATACACAAAAATAAACTCAAAATGGATGAAAGACTTAAATGTGACCCTTTAATCCATAAAAATTCTAGAAGAAAATGTAGGCAACAAAATTTCGGACATCATACAGAGCAGAATTTTCACTGATTCATCACCTAAGGCAACAGAAACAAAGGAAAAATGAACACATGGGACTACATCAAACTAAAAAGCTTCTGCACAGCAAAAGAAACAATCATCAAAATGGAAAGGCAACCCACTGTATGGGAGAACATCATTGCCAATGATGTATCGGATAAGGGGTTAATTTCCGATATATATAGAGTGCTCATACAACTCAACAAAAGGAAGATAAATTAAAAAATGGGCAGAGGAGCTGAACAGACACCTCTCCATACAGGACATACAAATGGCCAAAAGACATATGAAGAAATGCTCAACATCGCTAATCATCAGAGAGATGCAAATTAAAACAACAATGAGCCCTGGCCGGTTTGGCTCAGCGGTTAGAGCGTCCGCCTGCGGTCCGGAGAGACCCGGGTTCGGTTCCCGCTAAGGGCATGTACCTTGGTTGCAGTTTGTCCCCGGCCCTGGTTGGTTATGCGGGTGGCGGCCGCTCGATGTGTCTCTTTCACATCGATGTTTCCCTCTCTCTCTCTTCCTCTCTCTCCCTCCCACTCTGTCTGTACAAAAAATGGAAAAATGTCCTCGGGTGAGGATAAAAAAAAACAACAACAAAAAACAACAACAACAATGAGGTATCACCTCACACCTGTCAGAATGGCCACCATCAACAAATCATCAAACAACAAGTGTTGGCGAGGGTGTGGAGAACAGGGGACTCTAGTGCACTGCTGGTGGGAATGCAGAGTGGTGCAGCCACAATGGAAAACAATATGGTGTTATCTCAAAAAATTAAAAATTGAACTTCCATTTGACCCAGTGATCCCACTTCTAGGAATATACCCTAAGAAGCCTGAAACACCAATCAGGAAGAAAATATGTACCCCCATGTTCATAGCAGCACTATTTACAATAGCTAAGATCTGGAAACAGTCCAAGTGTCCATCAGTAGACGAATGGATAAAAAAGCTGTGGTACATATACACAATGGAGTACTATGCAGCGGTAAGAAAGAAAGATCTCTTATCCTTTCAGACGACATGGAGGGACCTGGAAAGTATTATCCTAAGTGAAATAAGCCAAGCAGAGAGAGACAAATACCACATAATCTCACTTATATACGGAATATAATGAATATAACAGTCTGAGGAATACGGTAGACCCAGAGACATGGAAGTAGGGCACAGACTGACATCCCTCAGAAGAGGTGGTGGGGGGGTGGGAAGAGATAAACCACTGAACCTATATGCATGTATTCATGACCAATGGACATGGACAACTAAGCCGGGGACGGGATGGGGTGGGTAGGGGGGTGCCAATGGGGTAAAAAAGGTGAAATATCTGTAACAAAAAAATAAATAATTAATTAAAAAATAAAAAATAAAAAAAGAACTAAAACTCAAGTACAGCGACAAAAAATTAGAAAGTAAAAAAAAAAAAGAGTGCTGAAGAGATAGAAAGGGACCAGGAAAGTCTTGTTTGGAATGTAACCTGAGAGTAACGTGGGAAAAAGAGTAGAGGCAGACCAGTGTTCCTATTGTAACAATTAAAGAAGTCATAAATTTTTTTAAATTAAAGCTGGTCCAAGCAGAAAACCTCTGCTGGAAAGAGAGAAACTAGCAAAGCTTTTAGTGGTTCATGGATTGGACTGAAAATTTTGCAACCCAAGACCTCAAACCAGGTGTCCCATGGAAGATTTACTTCACTCACAGAATAAGTGAGGCTGAGAACTTAAAAGTACAGATTTTAAATATCCTTCACACTTATGGAAACATATCTTATGAAACAAAAACCAACTTGAGGAAGAGACTATGCCACAGCACAGGTAGGTTTTCCTTTCCATGATGACATTCACAAGATTCTGAAATTTCATGAGTTGGGAAGTTAAAGAGCTTGCCAGAAGGGTCTTAGGTTCGATTCCCAGTAAAGGGCATGTATGTGGGTTGCAGGTTCGATCCCTGGCCCTGGTCAGGGTCGTTCGGAGGCAACCAATCAGTGTGTCTCTCTCACACTGATGTTTCTCTCTTTCTCCCTCCCACTATATCTAAAAATCAGTGAAAAAATGTCCACAGGTGAGGATTAACTAAAAAAACAAAACAACACAACACAGAAAAACAAAACAAAACACCAACATAAATGTATTATCTTGCAGTTCTGAAGGTTAAAATACAAAGGTGGTCTCACTAAGCCAAAATAAGGGTGTCAGAAGAGTTGTGTTCCTTCTGAAGGCTCTAGAGGAGTTTTTCCTTAACTTTTGCACCTGCCTACCTTCCAGCAATTGTAGCACTCTGACCTCTGTTTCCATGACCACACCTTCTCCTCTGTTATGTTCTTAAGCCTTTATAGAAGAGCACTGCCATCTTTTCTTCCTTGAATCCTTCTTTCTTCCCTCCCTCCCTTCCCCCCTTTCTATCAACAGCATTTATCGAAGCCCTACTGTATATCAGGTACTCTTTTAGCCAATGAGTATACTACCATGATAAAAATATTATTCCATGTCTTATGGGGATGACATTCTAGTGGGGGTTATGGGGTGGGGGTGGGAGATGGGTCCAGGTATGATAAAGTGAAATATTAGAAAGTGATAAGAGATATAGAGAAAATAAAGCAAACTAAGATGAATGAGACATTCTGGGAAAATCATCAGGTTACAAAGAATTATGTTTTCATTTCAAAGACTTCAAAATGGAAATGTTTATTTTGCTTGTATCTACTGAGACTTTAAAAATATGTACCATAATCCAACAGGTAGATGAACAAATATTATTATGTGCAAACTACAACAGAAAACTAACAGAACAAAGCTCAGAAATCATCTTGGAAATATCACCCATAGATCATTAAAGCAGCAGAGTTCCTATACAGAATACTTTGATTCTTCGTGGTGATAGGTCAGGCCCCCTACCTTTAATAAAAAAAAATTGTTTTTTTCTTTATTAATTTGAGAGAGAGAGAAAGAGAAAGAAACATCAATGAGAATGACTGGCCCCTAATTGGGGACCAAGCCCGAAACCTGGTCATGCGCTGTGACTGAGAACTGAACCAACAATCTCTTGGTGCATGGGTCAGCAATCAACCACTGAACCACACCAGCCGGGCAAGCCCCTAACCTTTTGAATAAAGTATATTTATTGTTTGTCAAACTCCTGGATTCTATCTTATTTTATATAGATCTTCTTTTACTAAGCATGAACATTTATAATCAGAAAGAACATGTTTTTAACTAGAGAAATTTCCCTTTAGATATTTTCTGTCAAAATATTTATATAAGCAACTTTTAATTCATGATACAGGTATTTCATCTGTTCATTGATTAAATGTTCAGTTTTAACAATAAGGAAAAAGCAATAAAATCTCTCATTTTAATTTTTTAGTTAGGAAAATAATTCTAGAAGCATTAACTAAATTATTCAACATCAATTTCTTTACGCCCTTTAAACATAGAAAAAATTCAGTCAGAATTCCTGTTTGAATTATGGAGAATTAACTTATTCTTTGAAGAATTTTATTCAAGATACTAATTATTTAAAAATGTAAAAAAATGTAAAAAAACTTTTACTGCTTGTAAAACTGAATATATGGCTAACCTAAGAAATGGCAATATGTCATAAACCAAGAGGAAAACTGCTTGACATTACATTTTAAGTAACTAAACAACTTTGAAATGAATTTACATTGTAGAGTTGTGCACCTGAAACCTGGATAATTTTGTCAACCAGTGTCACTCCAATAAATTCAATAAAAATGAAAAAAGAAAATGAATTTGCCAAATAAATAGTATACTTACAATTTGTTGCCACTTGAAATTGAGAATAAAGTGCTTGAGTAACTGAATTCCAAAATGTGTATAAAATTTCAGACTGCCCATCCTGTGACCCAAGAAAGGGATTTATTAATTAAAAAAAAATGATAATGGATAAGATGTGAGAATTTATTTAAAATGTATTGAAATGAAAATTTTAAAGACAGCTATCAAACAATGGAATTATTAAGTAACTAAGCAGAAATATATAGATGACTCCAATAGTATCTCAGTCCAGGTAAACAATCATCACCCTGTTCTGTTCCTTACTAGCTGTGTAAACTTGGGCAGGATGCTTACTCATTCTGTGCCTCCTTCTCATCTGTAAAATGGAGATGCTAACGTACATGGCAGTATTATTTTGTTGTTGTTCTTTTTTTTCTCCCTCCCCTCCCCTCCCTTGCCTCTCTCCTATATCCCTCCCTTCCTTCCTTTCCATTGCGGGATTATTATGAAGATTTAAGAAGTCTATAAAAGTTAAGTCTTGGAACAGTTCCTGCCATATAATAAATCCTCAATGAATCTTAGTTATTACAATTATTACCATTACCCTTTGATATAAAAAAGGCAACTTCTGTGACCATAACAAAATGATGGACAAAGCATGCTCAGACTAAGAAGAACCACCAAGACATAACTTGCCAATTACAAAAAAGAACTGCCTGAAACATAGATACAATTTTGTTTTATTTGTTTTTGAGTCACAGGAATTACTACTACATAGTTGAGCACAATATTTTTTCATTCAACTTGGGATACATGTTTTAGAAAGTAACTACTAAAAAAAGGTAATATTAGCCCTGGCCGGTTTGGCTCAGTGGTTGGAGCATCCACCTGCGGACCAGAGAGTCCCGGGTTCAGTTACCACTAAGGGCACGTACCAAAAAAAAAAAAAAAAGGTAATATTAGTTCAAGTATTATTTGTTTTGTTTCTTTTTTTCATCCTCACCTGAGGACACTTTTGCATTTATCTTCAGATAGAGCGGGAGGGAGAGAGGAAGAGAGAGAAACAAACATCCACATGAGAGAGACACACTGAGTGGTCGCCACCCACCCGACCCCAACCAAGGCTAAGGACAAACTGCAACCAAGGTATGTGCCCCTAGCGGGAACCAAACCTGGGACCCTATGGTCTGCGGGCTGATGCTCCAACCACTGAGCCAAACTGGCCAGGGCTCAAGTATTATTTGTTAAATCAAGAAAAGTACTTCATTGCAGTTAAAACATAATCACACTTGTGGCAATTTTACCAAGTACTTTTAAGGTACTTTACACTTGTGGTGTACTAATTAAAATTGCTGTTTAATTTTTGAACTACAAAAATGACAATCTCACATAATTAACCCTAATAATATCAATAAAATTTGTCTAATGTTCATATATGACTGCTGTCATAAAAAAGAATAATTAGAAAATTTGTTAATTATTTTAGTTTTGCACTTGTACCAAAAGAAATAATAATTTTCAAGGTTATAAATTAAGAAAATGACCAACAAAAAAATACTGATTTCTCACTTTTTACTTATGCACACTTCTCTTTTCTTTGTAATTTGTTTCTTTTTAAAAATGTCTTTTGCTTTGAATTCTGGATATTCTATACTAAGAAAAGTAAATCAAATAACTGTTAATTTCTTATGCAATGCTTCAGATTCCCAAGATTTTATACAATATGGACATTATATATGATGCATTTATTTATTTATTATTATTATTTTTTTAATCCTCACCCGAGGATATTTTTCCATTTTTTGTACAGATAGAGTGGGAGGGAGAGAGAGGGAGAAACATCGACGTGAAGGGACACATCGAGTGGCTGCCACCCGCACGACCGACCAGGGCCGGGGACAAAATGCAACCGAAGTACGTGCCCTTAGCGGGAACCGAACCCGGGTCTCTCCGGACCGCAGGCCGACGCTCTAACCGCTGAGCCAAACTGGCCAGGGCATATCATGCATTTAAAGTATATGTTTTTCATCATATTTAAGAACTATTGTAATACACCACATTAACAGAATTAAGGACAAAGACCACATGATCATGTTAACTGATGCACAAAAAAGCATTCGATAAAATTCAACACCCTTTCATGACAAAATCATTCAACAAGCTAGGTACAGAAGGAAATTACCACAACATAATAAAGGCTATGTATGAAAGCCCACAGCTAACATCATGTGAAAAACTAAAAGCTTTTCCTCTAAAATGTGGAAAATTTGATAACTATTGGCACTTTCACATACACACGCACACATAAAGAAGAAAATTTGGGTCAATGTCACTTAAGAATCAAGTACAAAATTCCTAGATATGAAAGCAAATTGATTTCAACAGTATATTAAAGTTATTATTTAAATTATCTACCTATGAGAATTCGTGTCAGCAATGTAAATACTATTTAATGTTATGAAATCTATTAATAGCCCAGTGTCTCCATTAAAGAAATCTATAGCTGAGTGAATAAAAGGCAATTAACGCTCTTTAATTAAATTAATAAAATACTAATATCTAGTTCTCATATTTTTAAAAAAATTCATAGAAGCCCTGCCAGTGTGGCTCAGTGGTTGAGCACCGACTCATGCACCAAGAGGTCGCCAGACTGATTCCTGGTCAGGGCACATGCCCAGGTTGTGGGTCTGATCCCCTGTAGGGGGCATGCAGGAGGTGGCCAATGTTCTCTCTCATCGATGTTTCTCTCTCTCTCTCTCTCCCTCTCCCTTCCTCTCTCTCAAAAATCAATAAGAAAAAAAATTTTAAATAAAAATTCATAGAAAATGATGCAGAAGATAATTCTTCTCTTTTAATAGTTGTAACAACACAAAATTTACCATCTTAGCCATTTTAAGTATACAGCATTATTAACTATATGCAGCTTATTGTACAACAGATCTCTAGAACTTTTTCATCTTGCAAAATGAAAACTCCATATATTTGGACCTCCATATCCATAGAATATGTATCCACAGATTCAATCAACTGCAGGGGGAAAATATTTGGATAAAAAGTTATACTGTTGGTGACGTGTACTATGCAGTTAAGCCTATAGTGGTTGTGTCTATACCGAACATGTCATTATTCCCTAAATAATACAGTACAACAACTACTTATGTAGCATTTATATTGTTTTAGGTATTATAAGTAATCTGGAAATAATTTAAAGTAATTTAAATTAGAGAAGATGTGCATAGGTTATATACAAATACTACGCCAGTTTATGAGACTTAATTCTTCTGCAGATTTTGGCTTGGGGGACTTGTGTGTCCTGGAACCAATCCTCCTTGAATATAAAGGGACAACTGTATCAAATAAACAACTGCTCTTTTGCCCTGGCCGGTTTGGCTCAGCGGTTAGAGTGTCGGCCTGCGGTCCCGAGAGACCCGGGTTCGGTTCCCACTAAGGGCATGTACCTCGGTTGCAGTTTGTCCCCGGCCCTGGTCGGTTGTGCGGGTGGCAACCACTCGATGTGTCCCTTTCACATCGATGTTTCTCTCTCTCTCTCTGTTCCCCTCTCTCTCCCTCCCACTCTACCTAAACAAAAAGTGGAAAAATGTCCTCGGGTGAGGATAAAAAAAATAAATAAATAAACTGCCCTTTTCTTCCTCCCCCTAGTCCCTGGCAACCACTTACGTACTTTCTGTTTCTAAGAATATGACTACTTTAGATACTTCATATAATTGGAATCATACATTTGTATTTTTGTGATTGGCTTATTTCATTTAGCATAATTTCCTGAAGTTTCATCCATGTTGTAGCATGTGACAGAATTTCTTTCTTTTTTAAAAAAAAAAATTTTTTTCTTTATTGATATTAGAGAGGAAGAGGAAGGGAGAGGGAGAGATGGAAACATCAATGAGAGAGAACAATGACTGGCCGCCTCCTGCATGCCCCCCCACTGGGGATCAGGCCCACAACCTGGGCACGTGCCCTGACCGGGAATTGCTCCGGCGACCTCTTGGTGCATGGTTTGACGTTCAGCAACTAAGCCACACCGGCCAGGCGGATTTCCTCTTTTTAAGGAGGAATACTACGCACGTGCGCGCGCGCACGTGTGTGTGTGTGTGTGTGTGTGTGTGTGTGTGTGTCTGTCTGTCTGTCTCTCTCTCACATTTTCTTTATCCATTGGACACCAGGATTGCTTTTATCTCTTGGTTATTATGAATAATGTTGCAATGAACATGGGTAGGCAAATATCTCTTCAAGATCCTGTTTTTAATTATTTTGGATACATATCTCCAGAAGAGATATTGCTGAATCATATGATAATTCTATTTTTTATTTTTTTTGAGGTACCTCCGTACTGTTTTTCTTTACAGCTGCACCATTTTACCTTCCAATCAATAGTGTGTAAGGGTTCTGATTTCTTCATATCCTCATCAACACTTGTTTGTTTGTTTTTTCAGTCATCTTAGTGAGTGCAGGGAGTCTGGCCAGTGTGGCTCAGTGGTTCAGCATTGACCCATGCACCAAGAGGTCGCCGGTTCAATTCCTGGTCAGGACACATGCCCAGGTTGTGGGCCTGATTCCCAGTAAGGGCCATGCAGGAGGCAGCCAATTGATGTTCTCTCTCATGAATGTTTCTCTCTCCCTCTCCCTTTTACTTCTTCTCTCTAAAATCAATAAAGAAAAATAAAATAAAAAATATATCAATGAGTGCAGGGAGATATTTATTTTGATTTGCATTTCCTGATGACTAGTGATGCTGATCATCTTTTCATATGCTTGTTAGTCATTTGTATGTTTTCTTTGGAGAAATAACTATTCCAGTCCTTTACACGTTTTTTAATCAAGTGTTGTTGTTGAGTTGTATTTCTTTATATGTTCTGGACATCAACCCCTTATCAGATATATGGCTTGCAAGTATTTTCTCCCATTCTGTAGGTTGCTGTCTCACTCTGTTGACTATTTCCTTTTATCACACAGAAATTTTGAAGTTTGTTGTAGTCCCATTTGTCTATTTTTATTTTTGTTACCTATGACTTTGGTATCATATGCCAAATCCAATGTCATAAAGCTTCTCTTCTACATTATGCATTTTTAATTTTAGGTCTCACATATACAGCTTTAATTCAT